TAGACTCAGCAGCAGTTCCCAAACTATGGGTCGCGACCCACTGGTGGGAATCTTAGTGGGTCGTGAAAAGATGTAGAAAACTTTGATTAATTATACTGGTTATTAGGATCGGTGGCGACTCAAATACGTAAATCTTTGAAAAAAAAATTGAATTTAAAGTATATATATATAATCTGTGAAAGTTTCCTTTTTACGATCTTCTCAAAGGAACAAAAATTTGCTACACAAAGAATGACTATGTGGATTTTTTTATGCAGTAGCAGTTTTGTACACTGTACAGCACCTACCGTGTTTTCCTGAAATTTAGACAGAATTTAGATTTATTTTCTTTTCAAGAATAACACTATGTTTTTTTTGGAAGAGGTCTTTTGTGTCCATTTATTAAAAATAAAATTACATTGTAGAAAATCACGAGATTTTTTATTAAACATTATATAAAAACCGACATGCATTGTTTTTATTCGTATTTCCTATAAAAAAAAATCAAGTGACAAATATCATAATTGTGATATCACACAATCTTGAATAGTGGTGTGATCTCCACCTTACCTCAGGTCATTGAACCTTTCCCCACCCACACATTTTAAACTGACGGTATTTTAAGGGTAGGGTTTATTTAAAATCATTTTCAAACCTAATTAATGAAAAACACATTTCATTGATAACTCACTACGAAGAAAGAAGGTATGGCTTAAAAATAAAATGGGGGATTCGCAAGAACGAAATGGCGATTCGACATTTTTGTATGAACCGATTCTAATAATTTACTATTCGTTTCGTTTCGAATATTCGATTCGAAAAACCCAACCGCAGATGGAACATCAGGGATCTTTTGGGGCAGAATTATTTTTTTGCCACGGTGGCCAATATCTAGCTTGTAGACTCCTCCACCCGAAGATGTTGGGCTCACAGACAAAAAAGATTGAAAACTGTATTCCTTGAGTTCAGCGAGATACAAAGAGGTTTTACTGCTTACCGATAAAGCAGCCATATGACCTCAGTTTGTGCGTACTGTTCGATACGCAAAAATGCTATTTGGCAGAAATTTTTCCGCCATGCCGACAACAACACAACATTTTCTGCCCCCAGTTCCTCTCAAATAGTGGCACAACTGGGGGTTCCGAGGTCGACCTCCCCTTCTTGTTAAAGTTTCGAGAGGACCGAAAGAGTTTCTAATAGCTATGTATGATTCGCGCGCATAAAGTTGTTTTGAAATAGCCGATTTTTTTACATCAGTGTGACGTTTGTATTCGGACCGTCAACATCGGTATTATGTCTGTAAACTATATTTTCACAAATTCTCCTTATCTGACAAGTATTTCTCTGGACATGTACCATGATGACTTTTTTCTCGCCCGAAACTGGGGCTCCAGTATGAAATACTTGTTTTTATGCAATCATCTGATACGAGACGCTAAATATAACCAATGAATTGAATCTGTAACTCAAATTTGGACTAAATATAAAGAAGTGAATATCAAGACAAAAAACGTAAATTTTGACAACACTAAATATCTAGCCACTGTTGGTCAAAGCAATTGGTCCAGTAGAAAAAGGTGCTTTTTCACAACAACAACAACAACAAGATTTCTAACAGCAACAACATAATCACAAAACGATCCATGGGACCACTTCGTGTCCAAAAACTTGCATTAAAACCGAAGATTTATTTACAATCAAAACAAACTTTTTCTGCAAACACTTCTTTCATTGCATAATTTACAAGACGTATTCGTTACTTTATTTCACTACTTTGTCTTTGTTGGAACATGGATGCTGAGTGAGGTGGAGATGTCCATGAGATGTGAACAGTGCCCATTGACGCCATGAACTTCAATTGTTAATCATCCCACCCCAAACTGTGTTCCGTGAAACATTCACCAAGCTTTTGTAAAAAGAAAGCTGTTGGCTTTGGTGAAATATGTTTTATTATTATTTTCTTTCCTAAACATAAGTCCCATCTTATTCCTGCTCATCGTTAAGACGTATGATCTTTCGAAGCGCGATTCTCAACCAACCAGAATGCAATTGAAATTTTTGGGCATAAGGAATTTGCTTAACGATTATCCAATTCAAAGGCACTTGTTTGTGTTTCAGTTTTTTGTTGTCTCGGTTTGTTGTTTTGTGGAGAAACCGAAATAAACTTAAATTCTATTATGGCTCTGGCGTCACTGAGTATACTTTTAAAAGAATTATCATCTATGCTTATCATGAATAGTGTTTTTACCGTCATGTTCGCATTATCACTTGTTATGTTAAAATCTATAACAGACAATGTAATCATAAAATTCCCAAGTTGTGACCCGCTACTTTTATTGGTTATTAAATATTTTGCAATAGCTAATTATAGATCTGGAAGAAAACACCATCGTAGTACAATTGGATTTACACTGGTGGGACGTCCATTATTATAAAGCCGTAAGTGCGGTCGCTTCAAATTAAACTACGTGATTCGCAAATTATGGAAATTTAGAAAGTTAGCTATGAAGAGCGTTCGTATATCGCCGGACTTGATTATTAAATTTTTCTCAAATGTAAGCTTACGATTTGAATTAATCCCATTCCCCGTCCGCTCAAAGCGCAAAACTTTCGGTAAAATCCTGATAAGTTTCTAGCGAATGAATGATAATACTACTCTTGCATTCACCAAAGGACGGGAACAACACAAAGGCAGGTATATGTATGTCAATCACTACATAAATTTAAAAAAATGTCGAGATAAATATAAAAATTGACTAATAATGTATTTTACAAATTTGTAATATTTACCCCACCATCTAACAATGCGTGTTCAATGTAAATCCCATCGATAAAAGTGCTTTCATGAAAAGACCTATCTGCTATATATACTTTCTTTAGTCAATTCAAAAACAGTAATAATATGTTTTGTGACTTTTTGCGAATCTTTCACATCAGTGGATTACATATATTACCATAGCCTTTGTGGAAAGACGAAAAAACAGTGAAAGTGTCATAAAAATAAAAATTAAATAATTTTTTTAAAATATTATTTCGTTGAATTCCGTAAGTCGAAGTAAGCGTAATTAAAGTGGGATCAATTTTATAGATAAGTCTCAATTATATTGTTGAAAAGGAACAAAATTATAGAAATAACAATGAATCAGACCTAACAAATTGAATCACGCGAAGTTTACTTCAATTTCATGGAATAAGAAGCGTGCCTAAAATTTGCATAAACGACTTAATATTTACAAGATTCTGCAATAAAATCGTGCAAAAACGAATGATTTAAACTAAAGTGTGACATATTGATATATTTTACTCAGAGGTATCAAGTTTCTGTCGTGATAGTTGAACTTTCATAACTCTTCATGAAATGTGTGGGTTAGTCATGAAATATGTGAGTGGTTGTATTCATCGTGGATTAACAAAAGGACTTTATCAGATTAAAAGTGAAAATTAATCCACGACTTCTACTTTCATTGTGGTATGCGGTATATACATTTTCGGCGAGACATTCACTCTTCAGAATTAGATCATATTGTTATATCTCACGGCAATTTTTAAAACCCAATTTTTAAATTTCCAAAATCAATTTGATGCTGATACATTTGCTACTTAGTTTGGTTTCAAAGGTAATTCTATTAACAATAATAATTAGCTAAATTGATACATTGCTAGATCCAATTTTAACATTTTAGCGAGTTGTAATGGTACTCCCTCATTGTCTCCAACCCAATTTAATATCTTGGACAAGATTATTTGGGTTTAGCAGGATATCAAACTCGCAATTGTCCACCATGGCGAAAATACAACGGCTTTTTTAGTCAGATACTGCAAAATTGAAATACCTTTGATGCGCATTTTCAACAGCAAGTTTTTTTTTTTTTAAAATGTAACAAACTTGGAAAATTACTGAAACGTTTTCAAATGTGAAATATTGGTAAAGAGACGTGACTGATATAAAGCTATAATTTCGATCTCGTGTAGATAATATTTACTGTTGATTTCCCAATTCGTGTTAATCATCGAACGTTTTCTTTCTTAAATGTGATGTCAGGTATTGTTAATACTTTTCAGGTGTCCTGAGGCAATATATTCTATCATGTTTTGCATTTGAATTAGTATAAAGGTGCAAGCGATAGCGGAGTGTTTGTCTGCTCTCATATCTGGCTAAAAGTAATTCTTATTTTGGAATGATCTGAATATGAGCAGACGCTACAATTGATTGCGAACCAAAGTAATATCGGCATTTGTTCTTATGCTGGAAGAAGCAAGTTTTTTTGCATATGTGTTTTTGTGCAGCTAAAATAATGCGTTCCTTAACTGAATACTCTTTCAAGTTTTATATGCTAACATAATTTAATGCAGAGACTTGTGCACCGGAAAGGTTTGTTTCAGCACAAGGTTAGCAAATGCGATTCATACACGAAATACTTTATTGTGGAATAATTTTTTTTGCAGTTTTTGTGTAAGTGTAAACATAGAATTTATACTCAAAAACTTTCTACTCCTCTTTCGTCCATGTTATTGAATCTCGTTATTACTAATCCCGCAATTTAGTATTTCTTAAATTAATTTCAAGTGTTACTATATTTAAACATAAATTATATTTCTATCATTACGGACAGAAGATTTACAGACACTTTCGCTCTGGTCGTTTCAGAAGCAATGCCGCAGGGTTTGTTGGTGTTTAATTATGTTTTGCTGTATTCAGTCAATACCAGACGGTATTAAAAAAATTATTGACTGATTCAGAAAAAAAAAACGATCTGCCATTGTCGTCTGATATTTCAATTTAGCTAAAAGGAAATCTATATACGTCAAGTTCTGTTTAGGCTTTCGAATGTGCTACCCCTAAAAAGCGGATATAATAGAAATAAAATTTTATTGTATGATTGGTTCAAATGTAATTACCATAAATACACATGCCCGTTAGATTGAAGAATGGAAATCTAAAGGTCTGCAAAAAACAATGGCGCATCTTATGAAGTTGCAGCTTAACGGATAGATACTTGCATTATCTATTTTTTGAATATTTTCAGATTGTTTATTCATTGGTTGATTGAGAATACTCTTGTATTTTAACGTAACTCGAAGTGGTAAATATCACTATGTTTCGGGTGATTTGCTTTGCTCTTGTCATCGGCTTTCTTCAGAAGGCGAATGCGGGCATCCTCGTTAATAGCATGCCTGATTCGGCAGATTGTACTCCATTCCGCGAGGTTTTGGAGCGCATGTTTATCGACTTTGCAGCGATGTATTTTGCCGATAACCCTCGTGGTACTGAAAAACCCATTGTGCCGGAAGCTCTAGATCCACCTACAGCGCAAAATTTGTTTATCACTTATTACGGAGAAGACGCCTCATCCTCAGGATTCAAAGATTCTTTGACAAGAATTCTATATTCTGATCCTGGAAACAAAGGAAAGGAGGAACCAAAAGATGATGCTGCTGTTATTGAAGCTGATCGGGTCGTTCTACGGGACAACATCTACACATATGCAAAAGCAGGAAGTTATAATATTGCTCGAGAAAAATTTGGTGTTCTTCTATATAAAGCCGCATATGAGATTGCAGGGGAGACAATGAAAAAATATGGATGCATCGAAGATGATGATATGAGTCAGTTGGAATCAGTCATTTACAATGAACTTGCGAAGTGAGTTTAATTATTCTTGGTATATATATATAATTGTATTTTATACTTATACTTAAATTTCAGCCTTATTGAATCATTTTCGTAAATGGACGTTATGTTTGTGTTTTCAAACTAAATTAATTAAAAGAAACAAATAATGAGGCCGCCCAAAAGGTGCTAGCGTTCCTGCAGAGTGTTCTAACTAGAAGGCCATGGAAATTTTCAAACGTATCAATTTGAGAGACATGTATTAGTATAACGCAAGATTTTGTATTATCAGTTGTCTAAAAAATTGCATATATGTTCAGTTTCACTTTAACACCTTGCATTTCGTGTGCCTGAAATTTTAAAAAAAGAAAAATAATGTCCAACTTCATTATACCGTTATTATCACATAATAATTTATTGTCCAAGTTTTACTATTATTTCTGTTGTTGATTAGTCATACGATTCCAAATTACTAATCCATATTTCACAGTTAAGTACACCATAGCAACAATTGTCGAAGTACATCTTGAAAACACCGATATTTTGTTCGTCACTCTAAGTTACTTTTTTGCAGAATCAGAAACGAAATCGGCGAATTTCAATTTGGCCAATTTCTTGGTCTTGGTTCTGGAACAACTCTCGCGTTTGCTATTGATGATACTGGAAGTATGAGTGGTGAAATTCAAGCCGCTAAGCAACGAGCCATTGTGAGATTTTATTTTCCTAACTTATTTGCAACTGTTTTTGTGCTACAAAGATTGCATTTTTTTTTTTACTTGGAAAACTAGTGGGTATTTTTTGTTTGAAACTGTTTGCGAATTTCTCATCACCATTATGTTTTCTTTTTGATAACGTCCCGTGTGCTACAAGTAATAAAATAAAGCTTCATCCCCGTCGGAGCTCACGTTTTTGTTATGGTTTCTAATTAAGTGATATAACTTTGTTGAGTGCTCATATCTCATCAATTTATTTAACTGTTTCAGAATATTATCAATCAGCGTCAAGGATCTCTCGATCAGCCACAAAATTTTGTTCTTGTTCCCTTTAACGATCCTACTGTTGGGCCTCTGACTGTCACGCATGATCCCGATGCATTTAAAAGAGCTATCAACAAGTAATATTTTGAATGAGCATTTTACTTGATTCTTCGTATAATCTTATACTTGTAGTTTTGTTTCGAAACGGGTTTTAAGTTTTTTGAATAATTGACATGGTACATTTCATCTTCAAGTTTTAGATACACGGACTTTTATCCCAATGATACTGAAAAAAATAGTTGTATTTAATATCAACTGCAAGAAGTTGTGTTTGTAAATATAAAAAATATTTCAAATTTTCCAGATTATATGCACACGGGGGTGGAGATGCACCTGAACTAAGTATGAGAGGAATTCAATTAGCTGTTGAGAATAGTAATGCAGGTTCAACTATTTTTGTTATCACTGATATCGATGCAAAAGACGTGGAATTGCAGGTTAGAGAACTCTAAACTATTTTATTTTCTTCTTTTTCTTCAGCCTTTTAATTTTAACCTCATTTTTATATACCAATTTTAATTTCAGGATAACGTGGTTGCTCAAGCTAAACAGAAAAATATCAAAGTAACTTTTCTTTTAACAAATCAGGTGCGAACAACAGTGTGTAATGGATGGAGGTAAATATATATAAATAATATTTTTAGTATTTAGATTTACATATGAGAAAATCAACAACGTATCTTAAATAGCAATAACCACATTGAACAACACAATATCATAACGTGAAATTAAAATGGTATACAATTGTAATACTGTTCAGCCCCATATTTTATGTGATAGTAATCGTATACGAAGAGCATAATGTTAACACAATAACCCTCAAAATAGGTAAGTAATTTATTTAAGGATATTGCGTTGTTTGCAAATTGAAAATAACTAATTCTAATATTTTTATTTATTCATGAAACTGACTCGTAATATATTATTTCATTCAAGAAAAGAATCAAGACGTTGCGATAATCCTGCTCTAAAGCTGGGATATGATTTGTACGAACATATTGCTAAAAGTACCGGCGGTAGTATATTGGTTGTGTCGAAGAGTGATATTTTTAAAGCAACAGAAGTAATTGAAAGCACACTAAAACAAGGATTGGAAGCGTTACTCATCAAAAGATTCAAAAGTATGTTATATTTGTTACAAATATTGACTGAATTAAGCATTGCAGCAAATAATCAAGTTTGTTTTGCAGTTTAATGATCGGGTTTGTGGTCTGATATTGACAACTCTGAAAAATTCTATATGGTTCACTGATAAAAATAGAAATACGCTTTGGACGTTGTTACTTTTAAATAAGATGCCAGTACATTGCAGTGCAAATTTTTTTTTGGTTTTTGTGCAGTTCATCAAATGGCATATGTGTACTCATTCAAAAGTTTAAATAACTACTAAATTAGGAATTTTCGCGTTGGGTGACATTCGCAGAATAGAAGTTGAATCTAATTTGATAGAATTTTTTATACACTGCACACTTTGATTTCTTTTTCGTGCATTATTTTGTTATCAGGCGGTAGGAAAGTGGAAACATTCTATGTTGATAGTTCATTAAAGGAATTACATTTGGAATCTGAAGGAAGTTGTGGAAGTATTCAAGTAAAGAGACCGAATGGCAAGACAGTTGTACTCGAGGTGATTTTACTAAGTGTACATCTTGATAGCATTATAAGTTTTATCAGAAATATCTTAATGAGGTTTTCATCACTTTCTATCACTCTTTTATATTTTAGATGCATATTTGATACAAGTTTTATATTATACACTTTTTTTTATTTTTTATTATTCCTTTTGTGACTTTAGGTTTCTAATAAATTTTTGTAATAACATCTCCAGGGTAAAGTTGTTGTCGATAAACTGAAAGTACGTCGCGCAGCAGTGAATGATGTATTTGGTGAATACAAACTCACGGTAAATGCAAATGGAGAATGTCACATCAAGGTAATATTTTGCAAATGCAGAAAAGATTCTATTTTCAATTATTTATTAAAAATTTTAATAGTAAATATACCTTCATTATAATTACTATGAAAACTTTTTTGCCATAAATTGCAATTAATTCATGTGATAGAAAATTTATTAATGGTAGTAAAATAATTCTTTCACTATAGATTTCTGCAAAAAGCACTAAAGGGTTTGTGAAAACGTTGGCAAGAAGAACAACAGACAAATCAGGAATGGCAAGAATTGAAAGATTTGAAGGTTAGCCTAGAGTAGGGTGTAATTGTGTTGGAGTTGCAATTTACATATCTCGGGTTCAAATCCCATGTTCCCTTCTGCCTCACTTAGGGTGTAATAAATTGGGTAGACAACGCCAAACCACGGAAAGTCTCATTCCATCTAAATACTAGTACCTCCATACATATTGTCATTAGGGCTGGGCATTTCGAATCGAATATTCGAATCAAATTCAATAGTAAATTATTCGAATCGGTTCAGAGCAAAATTTCGTATTGACGCCGTCATGTTTTTTTTTCCCGCCAATTTTCGAGTAAATTTTCTCATTTTTTTTATTGAAGCCATATTTTTCCAGCACAATTCTGACATATGACTCTTTTCTGTAGTGAGTCATTGGCGAAAACTTTTTTTTTTATTGTGTGTGAACGCTCAGCAATCTGCCTGAGTGATGTATTCTATGTTTTCTGTAATTTATATGCCTGGAGGACCTAATACAATAAGAATGTTACATACAATTTTATATCCACGAAGTATTTGAGATTCGATTCGAAAAAAATATTCGACTCGATTCTGAAATCAACAGGTATTTGAAATGTCCAGATCTAATCGTCATATATCAGTGACTTTAAAAACTTTTTATACCGACGCTATAGTAAAATTGAAGGTGAAATTTGATAATAACACGATGCTGTGTAATCTTGCATGTTAATCAAAATAATAGGAAAGCTAATTGGAGAAACATAAAATAATATCAACATAAAGTGCATCCAATTCATATGCAAACCAATACTGTTTATATAAATTATATTCTAATAGGTCAAGCTCTTGCCAATGACGAAGTTGTTGTTTTTATTGATGAATTCGGAAAACAACCAGGGGAAACTACAGAAGAAGTAGAAATTGTTTCAACAAACTCCGATGCAAGTTACAAATTCCCCATCAAAGATACATCGCGTGATCACTACACTATAACACTTGGAAATTACCCAGAAAAATCACTCATGGTGGTGGTGAAAGGAGTCGACAAAAACGGATACAAATTTCAAAGAATTTCTCAGGCATTCATAGAATACGTTTCTATTGATATTGACTGTTCAGGATTTAGAGATGCCATTTTCAGGTATGGTATTTGTAAACATGAAGGTTATGAATTTTAAACACTATAATTTTGTCGTTTATCAACATCATCGGCTATTGCTGATAATTTTTTTTTACAGAGAAGCATTCTGCTATAGTACTTGATAGAAAACATGGATTATCTTTTAAATTTTACTTGATAAGGTTAACGTATTGTTCGGGCTTCGACTTCGACGAGTATTTTAAGATACAGTTTTTGCTGAGAAATGTTTACTTCATGAAGTATATTTTATAATTCTCTATCAGAGCTGGAGGCAACGCTACCGTGAATGTTAATATTAAAAACCTTGGAAAAGATGAAGAATTATCCGTAGAAGCTAGTGATAACAGACTATACGTTCGAGACGAGGAAGCTAAAAAAATAGAAATTAAAAAAGGAAAAACAGGAAAATTTTCAGTCTTTGTTTCTGCTGGAAAAGGAGAACAAACGGGAACAGTCAGCACCGTTATAATCACGGGTAAAATATGTTTAAAATGTTATCACCATTATTATGTATTGAAAAATAGAAACTACTAATTCAATGAAGTTTCATGAGCGCTTTTCAATGTGAATTTGCAATGTAAGTATGTATATGTCGATAGGCATGTATGATACGAATCGAACAACAAAAACAGCAAAACTATAGCTTAACTGGTTTGTTCAGTATTGATTATTATATTCATACAGCTAGTTGGTTCAGATAGTAATT